TCAACTTCAATTCTGATCCATCATCACTTATGATTTCCAGTATCAATCATAAGCTGGTTCCTTCTCTAACAAACTAAAGTTTTAGTGTAATGAGGGCTCATTAAGATTATCCGATTGACAGCTCTTCAGACATCAGTCCTTAAACCAGGTGCCAGCACCTACCACCACTCCCTTCAAGAGGATTGAAGGAATTCCATTCTCACGTTTGCTCCATGCCAGATTCTTTATCTACCTAAAGTCAATGAGAAAGTATCGCCATTCCCCATTTAAATTAATCTGTATGAGAACTGCTAGTGAATTTTTTATAGAACTGCAATCCTCCCATCACAAGAACTAGTCAAGAAGGGGAAGAGCATAGCAGACTTCAGAGGTGTCAGTCATGTTCTCACAAAGCACACAGATATCCACTCATCATTAGGTGGTGGGGGAAGCCTGGGGTTCTCATCTGCCCAGCATCAACACCTCATTCTTAAGGTAACAGGGACCTGCCTCCTACCCTTACTGGATGTAGTCCAACACTGATTCAAGGGTGATGGTGACCAGAGTTGGAATAGTAACTCTCTCCCTAGAAACTAAAACTTGTGCAGAAACATTAAGACTAACACTAACAACTTCTGGAGCTGAAATGCAGAGCGTTAACTTAGAATTTTCCAAATCTACCAAGTTTACCCAAACTTCAAGTGCTCAACTAGCTACTGTCCTTTACCAAGGCCTAGTGGTTTGGTTTTCTATTGATTCTCTGAGCTTACTGATACACTTCCAATAAATCCTCATCCTGGAAGCAGTTATTTGGATGACATGACTAAGTGAACTCGGTTCCTGTTGTTTGCAGTCAAAGACCCCTATCCAAAACACCAGGACATTTGCCAAGGGCCGGCAAGCAGATCCCAGTTTCTTTCAAGCATCATCAACTCTCATTTTCTACTAACATTACTCTCTAGCCCATAGAACCAAAATGGAGGGTTGATAAGCAGTATCTCAAAGGTCTGCTGTGGGCATGCAATTCCTAAAGAAAGAAGAGTGCACAGAGCTAGGACGTCAGGACAAGAGTGATTTTTGCACAAATGAGGCAAAGTCCTCTCAAAGTCAGATACTTAGTTGTAAACTTGGACACTGGATCAAGAATGGTATCCCAAAAGGAAAATTATATGGTCAAAAATTTGGCTTCTATTTATACAAAATTAATGTTTTTAAAGAATACATCTAATTACTGAAGTGATTTTAAAAATAGTAGAATCTATGTCTTTGTTCTTCATTGAAAATAAGATCATACATTTAGTGAAATGTTATCATTTGATGAAGACTTCTGACTAGAACTTCAGTACAATGAATCACTTAGATTCATCCGCTCAAAAAAAAAAATTTGAACAAGAGGCTTCTTCAATCTCAGAGACTTTGGGAAGGATCATGGAAGTATCCTGCAAGCTCTTCTGAGATTCACCCATTCATTTTTCACCATCATCACGTAACTCATTAACAGACCAATCAGCAAATGTCTCTAATCATGAGCCCAGAGAAACCAGTAAATGTGAAACTACAGCAATAAAAGCAGTAAGCATATAATTTTATATCTCACTGCCTATATTCACTCATTTAATAAGCATCTGAGCACATACTAAAGGGGAAGCACAGTCCTTTCAGACAACCATAGCCTCAGAGATGCAGATGTACAAACAGCAACATTACAGTGATAAAGAACTGTATTAGGACTGTATGTAAAGGTACATGGAATGTTTCGAAAACAGCAAAAATAATTTTTAAAGTTTTACATGGGATGAGTGGGTAAAGAGACAAGGAAAGAAACACTGGGGTAGGCATCAACCTGTGGGCAATGGGAAAATGAAATGACCCTTGAAACCCATAGTCAGAAGCAGTGGAGCAATCTCACAAAAATAGGAGGATTTGTTTGAAGTCAGCACTTAGTGGACATAACAGTTACAAGCTGGAAATTGAGAAGGTAAAAGGTCCCTTATTAATACAAAATTAACATACCTTGAAAGAAATGAGGAAATCTTGAATACCTTCATATGAAGGAAGGGACTTCATAGGCATTATGCACAATATTTATTCCTGCATTTGTTCACATTTAAAATCACAACTGATTACTTAACAACACACATAATTGCAAATTGCTGGTATTTGTAACATAAAAAAATGTAGTAAAATTTCTTTCACAGTGTTGCCCAAGAAACTCAAGGAAAAAATTCCAAAATTAGATATAGCTCTTCCACACACAAACTACATATTATTTATATAAAATTTAAATCGTTGTAGTATATGTATAAATTTCATTCATAACTATCCGGATATTGTGATTTTGGATTAAAAATGCATAAGCAAGTTAACACCATGGAGAAACAGCTGTTGGTGTAATAACATTCCTGGAGCTGAAGCCAGATTTGAGGACAAATATAGATGCCATCATTTACTAGTATGTGGCCTTGGGCAAATCATAGTCAGCCCTGTTGAGTTTCTGTTTCTTTATCCATAAGTAAGAAAAACTCCACTTAACTTCCTAGAATCCTTGTGCAGAATAAATATAGTAGTATATTATGTGAAAGCACACAGCACACTTCTGAAGTTTGTTTTCCACTCTACCTTCCTCTTCATAGAGTAATGTATTTCCCCACCATGGAACTAGACTTCATTGCTTTATAATTGTGATGTGCATGTAACAATGTCCAAGAAACTACATGGTAAATAACACCAACATGCAAACTTGAATGCACACATTGTTACTTGGCTATCATCTAGATCCCAAAGGGCTCTTGCACATTATCTATCGCTTTCCAGAAACCTGATGCATTTTTTTTTTTTTAATACAGCCAAAATTATTCACCAGCTTTGAAAAATCACTGTCATGATGCTGCACAGAGCAGCTGGCCGATTGAAAGTGACTCTCCTTCCCCCACACTCCAGCTGTCACCAGGAAACCTCCTCAATGTAAAAAAAAAACAATGTGATATTACTACTATTAAAAACAATCTCAAAAATACTTAGCATTTGAAATTATTTTCCTTATGAAAGCTCACTACTAACTAAAAATCGACTCTTTAAGAAAACCCCTTTACTATATAAATGCAAACCAGCTGCTTTCATACAACAAAAAACAGAGGGCCGGTAAACACAATACATTTCCATTGACTCCTTGTTTCTTTTTCCTGGACTTATTTGTAATGCTAAATAACAGCCAGTTAAAATATTTAATAGTTGTAACAGTGATACAGCTGTCACAGCAAAGAGGGATTAAAAAAAAAAAAAAGCTTAGATGTTTTCCAAAAAACATTGCACAGGCTCCTCTCTTTACATGCACACTTTTGTAAAATATGGGTCAGACTGCAGGCTGGATTTCTTAATAATCACTCACTCCTGTAAATGAGAAGCTATATACACATTTGATGTTGCTGAAACACCCCGGGAGTTGTCTTCAGAGTTCATTTGTGAATCCCACTCACAAGAATTCTTAATGCCATGACTTTTTAAGTATAGCTCAACTCGTAAGGTTTTCTACACAGACGGAGAGTTTTGCACCAAGTGTCCTTGACTCCAGAGCTCCAGGGACATGCCTTGGAGTATCACTGCAAGAGGTTCAAGACGAGCACGAGCAGGCAAAGCCTGGGCCTTCAGCCTCTCCTTCTGAAAGCCTCTTAGCTCTGGAGATTTACAGCTAAGATTCTGCTAAAGAGGGTTCCAGCTAAAATATCTGAGGACCACTACTTGGATTACCATAGCTAAAGCATAGAAGGAAATCTTTTTAAAGCACTCTTTCTGTCTTTTAAATGATCTTTAAAAAGAATGCTCACAATATGCATGGACATATCTAACTTTGCATAAGTGTACAAATTATATATCCCCATCCCCACACTACAACACATTGCCAAATAAACAAAATTTTGACCTGGTATTTATTCAAGTATTTTCCATACTCATATGTGACATACAAACACAAAAATACACAAGACTTTTAATCACTTTTTAAAAAAATGAAACATAGAAAGTTTCACTTTATCATGAAGAAGCCATATTGAAACATAACAATTTCAGTTAGTAGTATTTTCAGTGTTTCCCAAGAAACTCAAGAAAGAAATTCCAAAATTAGATATAGCTCTCCCACACACAAACTATATATTATTTACATAAAATTAAAATCATTTTAATATATGTATAAATTTCATTCATAACTATCCTGATATTGTATAATCCTTTGGTGCATATTTCAGTGAGGTATCATCGCCTATAACATAGTGTTCCCTTCTATAGCTGACTTTCGCCGTTAACTAACTGCAGATCCTTAAATATTAGTATTAATCGCCCCATGACCATGACCTTCCAGTAAACACCTAAAGCTATTTTAAGGAAGTTGCTTGGCTATGGTGATAAAACTGGATAGTGTTTTCTACCAGGTTTAGAGTTTTAACTTTCTCCAAGTGTTTGCTTTCTCTCATTCACAGTAATGTGAAAGCTTGACTCTTTACTTTAGCATCTTTGTTTAAAAAAAAAGAAGCCATGCAGTTAGGTATTAACAAAACCACCTCATTTATAAAAATACTGCAAGATGAATGAGGTAAAGTGAGGTTTGAGGTGATAACGACCTTTTCTTCCTCCTGTCCAAAACACAGCACTTTACTGAGTCTCTATCCTTAACACATAATGGGTGTGTTTTGCATTTTGCACTTTATTTCATTATTGCCACGTCCTGAGGGAGGCACACTCCATGAATCCTACGTTATTTTATAGAAGATGAATTTCAGGCTGAGGATGTTGACTTGTCAAATGGACACAATCAGTAAACAGCAGAGGCATGGTTCAGAGCAGGGTCTGCCCAACACAAAACCACGATACAGTCTACGTCTCTACACAAAGAATAAGAAAAATGTTTGGGGCCTATGGAAAATGAATGCTCCATGAGGAAACAGTGTTAATTTATGGGAAGTATTAACAGAGTTATTTATAGAAGCTGATATCCAGAGTGACTCAGGTTCATCCAAAAACTAACTCACCCACAGTATCAGGAGCTATGGTGTGGCTTGGGAGCACTGTTCTCCGATCAAAGTGACACTTTGTTTAGGCCAAAGTGTGGCACTGACCCTTCTCAACAGTGGAATGAGTCCAGGCTTTAGGGCAGCTGCTTCAAATCCTGAATATTTCTCTTTCTCCCTCAACCCTGGCTCCCTGAAAAGGAAAGGGGAAAACTGTAAGTACTGCAACTGACAATCGGAAAAAAATAGCAGGTGGAGGGCACATCTAACTTGAACTCCTGTGATGCTTCCAGAAAACAGAAGTATGGAGGGAGAGAGGATATGATGAGGCCCCTCTGCTATCGGGGAGCTATATGCCATGTGGGAAAGAAAGATAAGCACAGAAACATTTTCAGCCTTGTCTTTTGCTTGCAAGTCCCTGCTTCAAAGTACTTCTCAGCTCTAAGGCTAAGGCTTATCTCTGGTTATCCACCAACTTTACCAAATTCTGGGTCCAAAGAAAGTATAATTAAGCTGAAAAGAACAGAGACTCAAAGACTTAAAAACTACCCATTGAAACAATTACTAAGGCAATTCTTAAAAATACTACAGCCCAATAGCATTCTTATTAAGGAATACATGTTGCTATAACTTTTCACTGAACATCATGCATCCCACAACCTTGATTATATAAAATGTAACTGGGAATCCAGGTATAAAAAAGTAAAATGTCCTTTAGCTATGCTCATAATATTCATGCAGCACAACTCATATTTAACCCAATGAAGAATTCTTTCAGCACAATCTATCTGTATTTATTTTACGCAGTTCTAACAAGTTATTAATACCTCATCTTTGAGTGTTTCCTTCATGCATTGATGTTAAACACTTTTCCTGTATGTTCACACCGAGTACTTCCAGCATTATTAAGTAAACTTGAAGTAACTTGTCCAAGGTCTTACACCCAGAAAAGGCTCCACCTGGATTCAAATTCCATTCTGTGACTCCACAATGGCTGTTTTTTAAATCACTAAACCAGTAATCCCCAAACTTTAGCACCCATATGCAACTGAAACTCTTGTTAAGACAGATTTGATTCAGCAAGTCTGAGTAAGACCTCAAATTTTGTATTTCCAACAAGTTCTGGGTGACTGAGGCTAGTAGTCCTGGGATATAGAAACCCAATGCACTGCTATTTTTTTGTTAATATTATTTGCTTTCCCGACCCCTGACACAACAGCAGTAAATTAAGTCTTAAAAGTTTATTAGAACCAGCAAAAAGTGACATGTAAATGTGGAAATTAGACAGACTTAAGGCGCAATTCCAAAGTAAAAATAAAAAGGAAGAAACAAAGTCCAGCCGCTACTAAGAGCACTGCAAAGGGGCCCACACATACCTCGATGACTAAATCGGACTATGCAATAACTCATTTTGAGAGTAACCCCGAGTCTTCAACAGAGTTTAGGCTCCGTTTGTGATCGTTTTAGGAGCGATCAGGACAGGAAAGGGTTAAATTCACTTGGGTGGATTCAGAGAAATATCCCTACTTAGGGTTGTGTTCGCTCAGAGACAGAACGTTAGTCTCCCACTAGCACCTGAAACTGCGAGCTGTGGCTGATGCAACGTCACTTTACACGCGTTGCTCTCAAAAGGCATCTTTAAGCTCCCGCAGAGCCAAGCCCATCCTCCCGGCGCCGTCGGCCTAAAGCGGACGCCGGGCTGCGGACGCAGGGGCCCCTGGCGGAGACACCCCAGGGCACGCCCCCCTTCTTCTGGGACTGGGGAGGGCGCCCGCGATCGGGGGGGAGCGCGCCTCTGGCCCCGCCCCCGCCCCGGGCCTCGGGAGGCGCTGTCAGCCACCCCACAGCCCCCTACCCGCCGCCGCCACCACGGCACCAAGAACAGGCGAGAAACGCCAGGCTTAACCGATGACGGGAGCGGCGCCAAACAGACGCGAAACTCACGCTCTCTTCGGCCCGCCTGCGTCCCCACGTCTTCGCGCACATATGCGTCATCACGCACGGGTACCGGATCCCGGAAGCTCCTGGTGGCCCCGGCCTGCGGGGCGGAGGGAAGTGGAGTGGGACGCCCCCGGGGCACGGTTGGCGCGGCCCGCGTCCGGGGGTCGGGGAGGGACGTCTCGCGGGGGGCCGGCCGCGGCGCTTGCTCGTCTGCGCGCGCTCGCGCAGGGCTGCGGCGTGCTTTCGATGTGCCTTGGAGGCACACCGGTAGAAGGACCGTGGCGGGTCTCAGGATGAGGGCTTGTTCCCCCGATTCGTCCTTTCACGTGGATAATATTCCTTCCTGCCGTAAATAACTCCCGCTACAGACAGAATGAAACAAGGGTCCTGCTTTCCAGGGACCCGACATGGGGAGAAGCGGCGAGTGGGCCCTGTTACAACTGAGAAACTGTCCCCCTGGGCCCAGCTCTGCTGCAAGTTCGTGTTGCTGCGTAGAGGTGGCACATGCTGCCTGAAGTGGATGGTGGGAAACACAAATTCCCACTTCGTGAGTTATCAACAGGTGGCATGAGAGCTGCCTACCTCAGGGGTGAACCTGTGGTTACAAAGTAGGTCAAACAGGGTTGTGGAGGTACTTTCCACTCCCCAAAGCTTAGGTCTGAGATTGCTTTTCCTAGTCTGTCCATTTTAAGGATAGGGTTTAAGTATTTCCATTAATGTATCATTTGATGCCGTTTTAGTTATAGGTTCTGTATGATCCGTTGTAGGAGTCTGATTAAGATAAATGTAACGTCCTACAATATGAGAAAACTATCTTGCTATTTGGTACGGAATTTTCTAGTAACTAGAGGAAAGACATGTTTTCCGAGGAATACAAGGGCACGTGGTTTTATGCTATTCTATGTTTATTGGAAGTTGTGACAGCTGTGTTTATCTAGTTTACTTAAAAACTGCCTAAATCAGAAGAGGTTGATTATCTTTTGTTACTGTGTGTTGCAAGAAGTCTTCATGGAAATGTTTATTTTGAAGTTTGAAATTTAAATGAAGCTTTGCTGGGCTACAGGGTGTATAACAAGACTTTCAAAAGTGATAAGGAGGATTCCTAGGAAATTGCAAGTAACTGTTCCTTGAGCTTTGCAATTTATCCCTTTCTTAATATGCTGATCAGAAAGCTTAGCTGACAGTGAGAAACTGCATTCCCGGGAATAGAAAGTCAACCGAATAGGGGGAAAAAAGTTGAGTTGCCTATGTAAGTAGTTTATATATTTCCCTGGAAAAAATAATTTCTCAAAAAGAAGGTGGCCCCTATATATCCTTCTGATGCATGATCATATGCACCAATTCAATTAATGCTTATCTCATCTTCTATTCTCTAAAACCCTTCCACCTTTCTATAATGGCATAGTTTTTTCTTGTCCTTACCTTAATGCATCAAAACAGAGGTGACTTAAGTCAACCACAAATCAAGAAGTCTCAATGTGGTAATCTCATAAAGAGGTCATCATATATAGGGATTAAGAATATACTTAGGCAATTAAATTACATTATCAGTAAAAAATTTCATGGACATTCAAGAGGACAGATGATTCATTGAGCAGACTGGAACTTTTTAAAGTTCCTATTGAAATCACCATTTTGTCTCTTACTCAGGTCCCATTTAACTTGACAAACATGACTTGGATAATAATGATGTCTTAAACATTAACATATGAGATGAGGCAATCACCAGCATCCTTTCACTGAGACAAGTCTTAAAAATACCGAAGAATCAATGCTAGAGGAAATCCTTAAACATACTCATTATGCAGTTGTTACATTATCTTGTAAGATAATGACTCCTGAATGCTCATGTGTATCTTGTATCTTAATCATGAGAAAAAGCATTATGCATAATATTCAAGACTTATCTGAAGATCTGAACAATTTTCTAATTTTATCAAAGGTAACCTTTAAGAGGTTTGCAGTGGCTATGTTGCTATCAGACAATATACACTTCAAGACAAATATTTCTGGAGGCACACATCAGTACATCAAGAAGATATAACAATTAGAAATGTACATGCACTCAATAAGGGAGCCCTAAATGTGTGAAGTGCTGAATGAAGAAATAGACAAACAATAATAGTTTAATATTTCAATATCCTCTCAGCAATAGGTAGAACAACTAGACAAAAAACAGCTAAGGATATAGAAATCTTGAATAACAGTATCAACTTAACTGATAATGTATAGACCACTGTACTTAATAACAGCAGAATTCATATTCTTTTTAAGAAATATTCTCAGGATAGTCCATATGCTGGGCCATAAAATAAGTCTCAATAAATTTAAAAGGATTGGGATCATGAAAAGTATTTATATGGTTACAATGGAATTAAATTAGGAATAGGTAATACAAAGAAATTTGGAAAATAACCAAATATTTGGAACTACACTAAATTACTAATGGGCCAAAGAAGAAGTAATAAAGGAAATTAGAAAATATCTTGAACTGAATGAAAATGAAAACATACTAAAGTTTATGGAATGCAGTTAAAATGGTGACTTGAAGGGTATTTACTACTTTAAACACCTATATTAGAAAAGAAAGTGCTGCAGTGCTCCAAGCTTCAACCTTAAAAACTAGAGAAATAAAAGCAGCTTAAACCCATAGTTAGCAAAAGAGAGGAAGTAATCATATTGGAAATCATATTATCAATGCAACAGATAACAAAAATCAATGAAAATAAAAGTTGGTTTTTGGAAAGATAATAAAATTGAAGAACCATTACTAGGCTGATCAAAAAAGAGAAGACACAAATAATCAAAATTAGGAATAAAAGTATATCACCCACCCTGCCATAATTAAAAGAGGCTATGAATAACTTCCTGCCAACAAATAAGACAGTTTGTGGATGAATTGGACAAATGCCTAGAAAGACACAAATTGCCAAAACTGAAACAAGAAAACAGAAAACCTGAGAAGAGTTTGTATTCCTTTCCTAGGGCTACCATAACAAAGTACCACAAACTGGGTGGCTTAAGCAACAGAAATTTATGCCTCACTTCTAGCTTCTGGAAACTACAGGTCTTAAGATGAAGGTGTTGACAGGACTGTGCTCTTTCTGAAACCTATCAGGGAGAATCCTTTCTTGCCTCCTCGCCTCCGGTGGTTTGTTGGCAGTCCTTGGCATTTCTTAGCTTGCAGGTGCATCACTTTAGTCTCTGCCTCCACCATCACATAGCGTTCTCCCCTTATGTGTGTCTCCTCTTTTTACCAGGACAGCAGTCAGGGTCATTACATCTGCAATGATCCTATTGCCAAAGAAGAATATATTCTGAGTTACTGGGAAGTTAGGACTTCAACATGTTTTCTTTTTTGGGGGGTGGGAGTGACACAGTTCAACCCATATCAGATCTATAACAAGTAAATAAATTTAATACTCTAATTAATCTTCCCACAAAGAAAATCCCAGCCCCAGATGGATAGACTGGTGAATTCAATTAAATAGATCAAGAAGAAATAATACAATTTCTGAAATAACACAAACTCTGAAATCAAGAAAACTTCTAAACTCATTCTATTAAGGTATTATTACAGTACTAAGAAATTCAGATAAGTTACAAGAAAACAAAGCTACGGATTAATAGCCCTCATGAACACAGAAAACTTTCCCCAGAATGTTAGCAAACCAAGTCATGCAATACATGTGAATGAGTATATACCAGGAATGCAAGATAGGTTTAACATAAAAAATCAAATAGTGTAAAACACCATTATTAATAGACTAAAGGACAAAAACCACATTATCATAAGCATTTGACAATATCCAACATATTTATGATTAAAAACTTGAAAGAAAATTAGGAATAGAAGGGAACTTTATCAACCTAAAAAGGGCATCTATTAAAAAGCAAAAACCTCCAGCTAGTATCATAATGGTAAAACACTGAGTGTATTCCCCCTGAGATCAAGAACAAGGGAAGGATGTCTGTTCTCACCACCTCTATTCAAAATTTTACTGAAAGTTTTAGTGCAGAAAGGTGAACAAAATAAATGAAAGACATCAGACTGAATAGGAAGAAGTAAAACTGCCTTTATTCACAGATGACCTAATCCTGTACATAGAAAATCTTAAAGAAACCACATATACATAAACACTACTAGAACTAATAAGTAAGTTTAGCACAATCTTAGGATACAAGATCAAGATAAATTTTTTTTGATATACAAATTAACAGTCTGAAAATAAAATTTAGATGACACTTTAATTCCAAATAGCACCAAAAAGAATAAAATACTTAGGAATAAATGTAATAAAGGTATAAGAGTTGTACACTGAAAGCTACTTCAAATGGCTGAGAGAAATTGACATGCCATGTTCATCTAGAAGACTTGGTATTGTTAAGATGG